TCAGTCATTTACTGATGATAAAGATGTTAGCATAACATTGGAATCACCATTACATGCTATGATTTTAGGTGAATCACCTGATTATGGAATTTGTAATGCCACGACAAAATCTGGTCAATCATGTTTTCATGTTATTAACAAGTAAACGAATCTTCTTCTTTTTTATTCGCTTAACTATTTTTTTTATTCAATAATAATATTGTCTTATGTTAGTGAAGCTTAGAAAAATATTTTTCTACTAAAAATATCACTAAAAAATGTGTAGTTGTTTCGTTTTATAACCAACCATCTGAACTTTGTGCAATTTCCTTTCATAATTAGAGATTTAATGACTTAATAATAAAATAGTAATAATATTTTTGAGAAGAAATTTGATTTAGTATCAACTAATTTTTTAGAGTGTATAAATAAATTTATCTTATTCAAAATTCTATTCATTATGGGATATCATAAATATATCATTATTCTGTTATTAACTTTCTACCGAAGATTCAATTTATTTGCAATTAGGGGCTTCTGGTTAGTTGACTTTATTTCATTTCAGAATTCAGCATTTTATGTTAACAGTTGTATTTACTTGTTGTGTAATATTTCCTCACATTTCATTGTAAAGATTCAGTAAATTCACTACTATATACCGCGAGTTATGTATCATCAGTTTTAGGATATCAACGGAATTAATAAATTCCTGATACATAATTTACCTTTGCACAATCGTTGTCCTTGTTTGTCACAACTTGCAATGAGAAAAGATGTAAATGGCAATACTTTCAGCTTAATGCTCTGGCACGACCGTGGGTAGGAAGAGTCTCTTCTTCCTCTCCAAATGCTGTCATATGACCATTGTCGCGGTAGTTCTATTCACTGCCTTTTTTGTGGCGAGGATGTGATTTAAAAAGATTGGGAGGACAAAAAGCGAGTGTCCGTCGCTTTGACTAGGTCGGCAGATATGAAGGATCCATCTAGGGGAGTTGGAAGATCTTGATTCCAAACCAACGTTGCCTATGGGTGTTGCCTATGAGTGAAAAGTGGCGTGTGAACCTATTATTGGTCCCCCGTCACCATGGGACTGTATCCCCTTATGTTACTCCGCTGCTTTGTAGATTAGACCTGTGGGTTAGATTCTCGGGGAGTGGCCCACTGAGAAGAGAAAATCACTTACTTAGGTTTAAGCAACCGGATATTATCCTAGCTCACACACATCCAAACATTCGTGTAGCCCATAAATATTTACGTACCGCTTTGTATCAATAAGTATGTGTTTGATTAAATAAATAAATAAAATCCTGAAAATCATCGGCCTAGACGTTGATTTCAGTATTTGTACTGATTAACTAGCAATCGGTAATGTGTGATCTCGAGTGCTGTTACAGGTGTTTGCAAGGTTGTCACTTCTCAGTTGTTGATACCATTCTCCAACTAACCTACCTGTTATGATATTATCTAACGGAATAAGTGTTCCAATCAATATAGATATATTGGGTCACCGTGTCAAGACAGCAACAATGGTCAGAAATTCATTAACAACTCTATTTAACCAGATATTAATTTAAAAGCTAACAAAAACGTTTCTTAATTTTTTGCTAATGATTCCTTAAATATTATTATAATATAACTTATGTATATTTTGCTTTCCTTTATCTTGCTCTCTTCAGAAGTATTTGTCGCTTTTGTGATTTTCACGTGAAGAAAGCTTATATAGAAGCAAGTTCATCCCGTCCAGGATTTGTGAGTGCAAGGTAAAGGAAAAATACCAATGTGTTGTATTTTCTCTGCATAAATAATTGCATTACTTTAACAGTCTAATGTCATATACCATATATATAATAAGTTTATAGTTTGATGCATTTTATGACTTACAATTTCACTTTGGTTGGTCTAAACACTCGTATCATACATAATACGATATCATAGTTCAAATTTGTTCCGATTTTATTGTAGTGAACTGGTTGTAGTAAGAGTTTATCAAACCCCCTAATATCGGGAAGTCCTTTCCTAATTAATATATGCAGAAGAAAATCAATTTTAAATTCGTATACCAACTCAAAACGATGTATTCATAGTAAAGTTCTGTTCTTTAACTTTCAGTGTATTGTTAGTCATAACTATTGATTAATTCATTATGTTATTGTGTTCGGTGACGAATGATCAATAATTTTTCATCAATATTGAGAATTGAATCGATATTCAACTTGATTAACTTGAATAAAAATTCAGTTCTTCTATAATCTGCCTAACAAACTTAGACTCCTCATTCTAGTTAACTAAGAGGGTAGAGAAGTGAGCAAAATCAAGTCGTCTTCATTGTATTCAAGTGTAAATCACAAATAATTAACTTGATGGTTCCAAAAAGCATTATCTTCAAATTGAAGCTAATGATTCGTTGAACTAAAGAAGAATGAGACCTTATTATATCATTTTTACCAAATGACAGTTAAAAGAGTAACTTTTGTTTCTTATGAAAATCTTATGAATATTATCTTTGGATGCATACCATACCGATTATCGTGTCGTATTTTGTGTAACAAACCTAACAGTATGTATTTAGATTTATTTTGTATAAAATTAAAAATATATGGTAAATTATTTAAATTTCATTTAGTAACAATCATGAATCCGCAAGAAATTAATCTGCGTTGTTAAATTTTGCTTGTTCATCTTCATACGAATTAGTGCATTTCTTCTAACTATGTCAAGCATTGTTTTATGATTTGTGAAATCGTTCTCGGGAAAATATTTAACCTCATTTGATCAATGTTAAAGTCTTAAGTTTTTACAATTTCATTGACTTGTATACTAAGTTTCGTTCTAAATATCTATTCTCACTATTTCTTTTCCGATAGTTTACCAGGATTCGGTGGACAGTCACGAAGGTCACGCTATTCTGGTGACCGTCCTCCAGTTACACCTGAACCAGGTGTATTCACACTTCCCATCAATACAAGTTTTATGGTCAATAACTGCTACAAACCTGTTGTGTACGTGATCGGATAAAATTTTGTGGTGTATACAATTATTTTTATATTTCCCATAATTCATATCTCTCTTAACCACTGAACATTGAATAATGTGTTATTTTTGTGTGTTGTGTTCTGTTACACATTCATAAATGATAACAGACCAGTACATACTTCAGTAAAGTAATTTTTCCAAGGTGTTATTTCATGCTAACTCAATTTTACGTTTTTAATTATGTCATGTGTTTTGTTCGCGTTTTATATTTTGGTTCTGTTAACCGAATAATACATTTTTTCGTAAATCAAGGACTAGGCGGGAATTTGAAACTGAAAGTTTTGTTAGAAATGTCGAAAACATAACAGAAATCAGGTCTACATCAGAAATGTTAAATGACTGTTGGTAATCGATAAGTGCGCTGGTCATTAATCTTGTGATTGTTAGCACTTATCAGATAGACGTATTTTCTCTGCTTTATTCTCTCTAGTTAGTTAATTCGGTAGTTGGATTTTATACCTGACCGGCTGAATTTAACCATTGACAACACTGGTAAAGAACAAGTAAACTAATATTTTAAGCAACAAATAAGATACTTGGGTACCCACAAAATATTGTCGATTTATGTAGTTATCATAATGACGTCACTATCCACTGAAATGCAACTTGTGAATCAAAAAATATAAATTTAGATAAGTTTCCGTTATAGACTGACGTTATCCACAAAACCATTACAAACCAAGATGATTTAAACGGCTTCTTCGTCTTTATTTGACACTCGTCAATGCATTCACTATCAGTCATGAAATCAATTTTAGAACGTCTAGACCTCTCAGTCTACTCTCTGTGGTATGCCGACAGTTTCCCTAATTCTTATTTTAATATTAATAATTTATAAATCAACTTTAAGAAAAGTTCCTGAAGTTTTGAGGATAAGATTTAAACAACTGAGTATTTCATACAAAGTACTAATTAAGAGCTTTTTGCGTTATTTTCTCTGCAAGTGACTATCAGAGGGATCGTTATGTTCTGAACTACGCAATGGTAAGGGCAGATCTGTAATTTTAATGAGTTGGAAATCAACTCATTTTATATTCATAGTTTTTTAATGTATTTTTTAAATGTACATCAATAGATAACTTCAATGCCTATTAATCTGTTTTCGTTTTATGACAATGTATAATTATGATGGTTACTGGTAGTAACATGTACACAGTTTACTGATTACATGATAATATGTAATTACGTTTAATCTTTTCTGTAAATTGTACAGCACAAATTGCATATGACTACAGTAGTTGTATTCTATTTTAGTAATATTGTGGATAATGTCATGTATACTACACATAATGAGGTGCTCTTTATCATCAAAATGATTTTTTTTTAACTTATCTGTTCATGAACTATACAGATGATGTCGGAGAATTAATGTTATTATGGGGTGGAAATTTTTAGTTATTTTTCAATCTTTAACTTTCTATCTTTTCAAATTTCCCTATTACTGTGCTTGAACCAATAAACATTTTTCCCGACCCTATATTGATTGAAAACCGTCAAGTGAACTGAACACTTATATGATTACGTTGGTATAGAAATCCTTACCAAATCTCTTATTTCCTCTCTTAAAATTATCATTATTATTATTGTTGTTTCACTTAGTTTAATGATGAATACATTTATACTTATCTCTCTCTTCATATTGTTTCTCTCTTTGTTTGAATTAGATCTTCACCTAAAGTGAATCTGAGTGTAACCAAATTAAAAGCGGCTGGTTATCAAGTAGATATATCTAGTGGATTAGGTAAAAATCCGGAAACGACTAAAACACCACAAGTATCATCCACATCATTGCAATCCTCTTCGTCAGTGGATAATAATAAAAAAAACGACAGTTTCTCTGACAAGAGTATGTCAATAATTCCAGCGAATGTTTCTTCAGTTGTTGATAGTCAAAGTAGCAAAAAAGTAGTTAAAGAAAACTCAGAGAATACCATTTCAAATAATAATGATCAAGTAAAAATTGAACTTAATGAAGCAGAAAACAAACTTGTATCTGTATTACGTCGACCATCTGCGGGTTCTTTAAATTTATTAAGACATTTAGAACAAGAAAATGAAAATGATACTGTCACTGTTTCATTATCCAAGACTGCTGCTAAACAATCTGTAAATAACTCAAATTCGAAAATATCTCTAAGCAGTCGTCAGGAATTTTGTTCACGTCCGAATTCACCATCACCTGTGACATTTACTGAATTTTTCTCAAATATTAATGAAAAACGTAAGCATTCAGTGTCAATACCACCTGCTACTGCTGTCAAGCCAAGTTTGAATAACAAATCGGAACAATTTATTGATTTAGGTCCTTTACCGTTGGCAACTAGTTCTCAGGCAGGATTGTCACGATCTATGCCATCATCATTCATAACAGATGCAGCACGTTTGCGTGCTACCGCTTTGGTTAATTCACAAGGAGGTGTAAATAAAATGATTGAAAAAGAATCCTTGAAACGGAAAGTAAATCTTTTAAACACGTCATCTTGTTCAAAAGCTTCGTAAGTACCTTGTCTGCTAATTTTTGTTGGTTTTATAGGATTCTATAAAACTTACGTAACAAAAGAAAGTTTACTTGAATCAAACAGAAGATTTGATTCGTTATTTTAATAGTCCATTAGTTTTGTATTAAAAGATGATTTTTGTCACCAAAAAAGGTTGTTATTTCTAAATTTTAAGACAAAATCGGTTACACAAAATTCATAGGTGCCATTCTTTGGTAAATATCAATCGACAATTTAAAATATATTCTTCCTGTTAATGTATTTTGATTACTTAATACAAAATGATAGTGCTGTTTGTACTTTTGTCATGTATTAAACTCCTAAGAAGATAAAACCCTAATTCACTTAGTGCGTAACACCACTCATATGGAACAGTATTCTTCACATGTTCCTTTAGACAGACAGAGACAGATACAACGCAGAACTTCGTACATAAGTACATCACTTCAGGTTACCATACCACGTCAGCACAGAGACGTAAATGTCAGTTCAAATCCAAGAGTGATAGAGATAGTAGAATTATTAGCAGCAATGGAGAAGATTAGGGAGCGAAGATATGATTCAAAAAGTATAATTCAGTGAGATAAATTTAGAAGGTGAAAGATAGAGATTATGAGGAATTCAGAAGGTTAGAAGTAAAAAGCACACAGAGAGTGGATGCACCTGCGCCATTGCAAACGATTTTGAGCCATGTCGTCCAAGGTCTCTAACCATTGGTGACTTTCGTCTCGCGGACCCCAACCAGGTAGCCTACATCTACCAACATGACTCAGTCCACTTGTCAGTGACTTCCATTAACAATGATGAGCTCGAAATCTTCTATTATCTTTCCAGCCTTAATACAATTTAAGCTAAAAAGGCTTTGTAGCAATATACTTCGTTCTATTCATAAAATCCATAATCTGACTCTTTAGATTATATATGAAACCATATATGTTCATTTGGATAAATCGTGATACTGTTGGTTAGTATTTGGACTGCTGGATAATTCACTCCCAAAAAACTGAATGTCCCAGGATTCAAACTCAAGAATTCGGGGTTTCGCAGCAGCGCGTCTGTTACCTTCATAATATTGGGTTTGTCATCCACTGATTCACATATTCCATTTCCAATCCTTTTTGTAAGTTCATACCACGCTTACCCAGTATCAATTGACAATGTATTTTTTCTTCTTATCGTTCTATTTTTATACAGGCCTTTATCTGAAATTCTCGATAATAATCCTTCAAAACGTGCAAAGCTCACTTCATCATCATCATCTTTATCAGATTTAACAACCAATCAACAACAATCAAAAAGTGTCTTGAATCATGACATGAACCAAAAACTATTGAAAAAAAATCGTGCAAAAAAGTTAGCTGAATTAGCTAAACAAATTAATCAAGGTTCAGCGCATAAAAATTTAGTTGATGCACTTGAAAATCAAACTGAACAAATTCGATTGAATAGTTTAGAAAAACGTGATGAATTTGAACAGAAACTTGTAAATCAAGATAAAGAAGCATGTACATATGTGATATGTGAGACGGTAAGAATTATTAGATATTTTTCATCAATGCTATTGAATTTACAAGGCACTGGTTTATATAATCGGCTTCTCACCACATTTTTTTTTTGGTTTAAGAACTATATGATGCCATCTCGACTGCTCACATTCAACTAGGGAGGATCAAACCTGTAATAACCTAGTTGTCATAAGAATCTTCCCCTAGTTGTTTTTAATTTTCCATTAATTATCATAAAATCCCATCAATTCAGTTGCCTTTTTGGTCGACAAAAGCTGAGTTTTCGTAAAACTTCAGTCAAATTATAACTCGTTACTTCCTAGTTGTAACTGAACCATTTCGTTCAATATTACAAAGGTTATGTTCCGTTGAATTTCTATCAGTAATCTACATTTTACATGTTCAATGAATCACATCATCGTTTTTATAGTCTTTACTTCCTTGTTATTGAATCTTTTTGACATAATTTGTGACGTAAATAAATTTCCTACCTATGCCTAACCACTGCTTACCTCTGTAGGTAAGAGTGGTTTGGAAAAAAACAAACCGAAACACATTATCAATTCACATAGTCTTTAACAGTTAGATTAAGTTATATTAATAGGTATAGACTATTGGGTGAGGGTCCAAACCAATGTCTCTAGACGTTGAGTGATATAGCTTACAATCAAACGCAACGGCAAAGATTCACTCAATCTTTGTCTTTTCTTAGGTCCTAAGTTCCAAATTTATCTTGAACTTTCTTCGTAGTGCAAATTCATTCATTCGTTTTTTTAATCACGTTGACTATAACTAAACTTTCCTGCTACTAGCATTGATAGTGTCATTACTTTCACTACTCTGATATTTATTGTGATAACTTTATCTTACTGTGCTAATATAATGTGACAACTTGAACCAATGCTCATATGTGCCAGGTTCTATGTTAAGTTTGACTGAATAACGAACTTGTCAAATATAAGAAAATAAATAGTTAAGTTGTTTTAGATGAGAAGCTTGTTATATTTAAACGAAACAACGTTTAATGCCTACACTCTCCTACCTACTTTAGCATCATGATTAATGTTGTTTAATTGACTACTTCTTCAAGATGCTGCTTAATCATACATTTCTTTTTTCTGTTTTCAGTGTAAATATCGTGCATTTAAAACAGCCCCGAACTGTCATGCCAATAATCATCAACTTAAATACCTGAAAGGCTTTAAATATTATTTTTCTTGTCGTCAGTGTTCAAAACGAACTGTATCGTTGGATCGTTATCCTACAAAACCATGCAAGTGAGTTAGGATGAAAATTACTGTTATTGTTCATTTTTGTTGATGATAAAACTAAAAATTTTTCCACATACACATGCAGTTACTATGGGTGAGTTCTGTTATTTACTCAACAACAACTACTACTACTTCAGTCAGTCATCATATATCATTGAGCCGTTGGTTTACTCATTTTTACTCAAAACTGTTAGGTATGTAGTCGTACGCTTCACTGTACGAATAGCGAAAACTGTTTTTCATGATTTATATATTATTATTAGTGGTACATATCAATAACAGAACAGTTACTTCAGTGAACTAATTCATTCTAACAAATTCTTGGTTTTGTGTCAATATTCACTTTTCTCTTTTGATGGTGTTATATTCTTTGAGTAATATAGTGTAATTGCAGAGCTTCTATTCTCATTTCCCTGCACCTACTATTTGTAGAAGTGAACTTTTCAATCATTTCATAGATCTCAATTCGTACCAGTGACCGTGTTTGTGAAAGGTAGTCTTCATGGATTTTGTTCTTGTATTGGCTGGTTATGTATTATTTAATTAACCTCTTTTGTATGAGTTGTTCTGTTCTGCTTATTTTTATACAACCGTTGTTTGTTAACTAATCTAAATCGCATGCCTCTAAAAATTCCCTGATATTCTTAGAGTTTTCCTAATCCAGAATTTAGACGTTTATCTAATCGAATTCATATCCGCGGTTGCCAGCAAACACTTATATAAAATCATATGTTCTCTCAGACAGATTGAGCTATTAACGCTTTTGAATTTTAATTTGACATTTATTTCTTTTGTTTATACCCACCAATCAATCACTGAATCATTGTAATCAGCTCTTGTGCACTGAGAAAACTTGTTTTTTTATGACAGTTTACGGAATAGTATTTTTTATTTCATCTCTTAACAACAGTCAGTCAGTCATTAACAACCTGACATGCATACATCATCAGTTCAAGTTACTACACCATATCTGTATGGCGAGATTATATCACCAAAATACTAACACCAGTCTAGTAGGATTTAATAACCGCATCAGTAGTAGTCGTAAAACAGTCACAAACAATATGATTCAAGAAAGAATAAATTCGTAGGATATAAAGTATTAGATAACTTTAAAACTCAAGAAGAAAAGTTAATCAATCTATTAACTGGACCGTTAACAATGAACTACCTTAATGTCTGAAGCTTCGCAGTTTCTCTACATTGCCTTCCAACCTGAAGATATATATATATATAAACATAATATGATCATATTATTTACCTTATTTAATTTTTATTTCATTTAGTTATTGTGGTGAATCTTTGTTTGAAAAAACTGGAATAATGAAGGTTAGCGATTGTTTGAATATATATTTAATCAGTTCATGTTTTATTGTTAACCAGCTAATAATCAATTTATGGTTATTATACTAACTTAAAATAGTTTGATAAAGTAATATTTTGATAAAGGCATTATTTACTGACGGCCTGCATCAGCTCTCAAACTGACCTTGATAAAAAGCTGAAGCTTAATTTTAATCAGTTGGAATGCAGTTAAGATAAATAAGCAATGCACTGCATTAAAACTCATTGTCATCTGACGATCCTGTACCTTCTCAAAATGTCATTTGATGACAACCATCACACATAATAGCATTTCTACGTTTTTTTTAAAATACTTTTATATGTTACAATTAAATTTGGCTATTGAATGGTCCAAGGTCAACATTGTCGTTCAAGTTGTTCGTTGTAGCACTGAAATCACGATCTGACTGATTCGTGCGTGAAGTATTCTTTTATCAATATATCTTATCAATTTGCCTCTGTTTTTGTGATAGGTTATGTAAATTAAGAAACTTTTTAAAATATGTCCTCAATTATAGTAGCTTTGTGTGAAAGTTAATTGATTCTACAATATCAGATGTTAATTATATTTAAAGCAAATATTTTCACAATGGTTAATATGTGTAGTGTTTATGGAATTTTAATATTCTCAAGTCTTATAACTATTTGTTACATAGCTTTTTGTAATTTCCTTAATAAAGTGCTTCTTTTCAAAGATAGTAATTTACAGGTGAATATTCTGAATGAGTAGATTATAAATAATTGTACAATTCCAAACTAGACCTAAATGTTACATATTAGTGGCTTGAATGAAGCTCTATACTGCTGATGTAATATTGCATTACATTAATGAATTGACACATCAATATCGTAACAATTATTTGATTTTTTGTAAATGTTTGATTGCCATCCCAAAGGATAGGTTCGTTTGTGTGGTAATATTTATGGTTACTGAAAATAATATTGATTCGTATTCTGAAACTGTACTTACTTACTTACTTACGCCTGTTACCCCCAATGGAGCATAGGCCGCCCACCAGTTTTCTCCAACCAACTCTTTCCTGGGCTTCCCTTTCCAGTTCTGTCTAATGTTTGTTCATTCCTCCCTTATCTTTCTCTATTTCTCGGCGTAATGTGTTCCTTGGCCTTCCTCTTCTCCTTTTGCCTTGAGGGTTCCATGTGAGGGCTTGTCTCGTGACACAGTTAGGTGCTTTCCGCAATGTGTGTCCTATCCACTTCCACCGCTTCTTCCTGACTTCCTACTCCACTGGAGGAATCTGGTTTGTTCTCTCCCACAGTATGTTGTTGCTGATGGTGTCTGGCCAACGAATCCGAAGTAATTTGCGTAGACAGCTGTTAATAAACACTTGTATCCTCTGGATGATGGCTTTGGTAGTTCTCCATGTTTCCGCTCCATACAGTACAACTGTCTTGACATTTGTATTGAAAATCCTGATTTTGGTTTTGGTTGAAAGTTGTTTGGAGATTCTGAAACTGTACTCCACCGAAATTTTTATTTTTATGTAACTGAGAACTACAATGCACAGTGGTTTTATTTTGCTTTTTTTATTTTATTTTACATTTTAAAGGAACGCAAAGGTGCACTTCTGCCTCATGAACAGCTTTTACCTCGTGGTATTGAAGAAAAATTTCTTAACTAATTTTCGCATACTATTTATCACTACTATAGAAAGTATATATGTAACACGTCCCACAAATGTTGTATTTATGTAACTAAATTAATATTTTTTTTGATAATACTAGATGTGATTCTAAAATTATTTTCATCCTATATGAGAGATATCTAATTATTTTTTGTAATCCCTCTATTTTTATATATTTTAGTTTTTATCAATGTGATCTTAGATTTTGTATAACATATAATGTGTATTTTATTTTCACTATTTTGGTATAAAAAATATCTATGCATTTGAAATCATTAGTGTTAACGCATACTGATGCTTGAAATTGATAATAGACATTGCATATTTATCTATGTGAGTAGTTATGTAAATGACATTAGTAAAAAGATTTAAAGAATAAAATTTCTTTTCGATTGACTTGCATATCGTTTCTTCCGTTCTACATCCCTTATTGAATAATTGAAAGTTTAGAATTGAATACAGTTCAATGAATGAAAATTCTTTTGTGTGAATAGTTTCTTTTACTGAAGGTATACAATCGTATTTGTATTTATTAAATACATTCCGGGTTATAGCAAAATAGAAAGATATCAAGTGTTTAACAAAAATTGTAGGAACATGGTATGAGTTATCTTAACATCTTAGAAATTAATGAGTAAGAAGGCGAAGATATATTATGAATATGTTGTTTGTGTTACCTATTCGTCGTTTCGCATCCACTAAGTGGGCAATACCTTAACATGACATTTCTAAGCTGTCTTAATCACACTATTTCCTACTACTACATAGATTGTTGCCGAACCTTTTTAGGATCTTGTTATGACACACTATGTTTCCTTTAATGGTCCAGTATGTGCTAAATAACTATGAGTACGGTTCCTTAGTTTTAGTGGGTGACGAAAAACGGCAATAGGTCGGCCTCTACTATTAATACTTAAAGAGCGCCAAAAGAGTCATCACACTGATTTGTTCTCCCCTATACTCTAGGTCTTTGGACCTCAGTGCATTTACATCTTTCAGTATCCGTGATTTCGAAGTGCTTACAACGACTAAGTCATTTTGAATGGATTGGACCTGTTTCATATGAGGGAGGATTTTGTTATTCGCAATTAGTCAAGTGGGGCCGTAAGGAATAGCGTGCTCTGAAACGTCAATTTACATTCTTGCTTCTTCTTCAAAATCAAGGATGGTTCACCAGCAGTGTTTAACTTAACTATGACTTGAAAATGCCTTCCCGTTTCCATATCTCTGTGGTAGAAAATAGGTCTCGGTGGTTTGAATAATAAGTATTCACAAATTCTGCTGTGTTCCAATCTCGACACCGATTCAACCCTGATGATTCAAATAATAAAACGTGATAACTTGAGAATAAATGTTGGTGTTGCCCCCATCTATTGGACTAGAGATCCGTAGGCCTGTAGAAAGAAAATATGATTGTTGCCTAATGACTAGAATCTCGAACTTTATGTTGGCGCACTGGCAACTAAACAGATCAACATGGACATCAGAAAAATCAAGAGTGGCAAAGCAGTAGGACGAGTCAACATTCCAGCTGAAGCATTCATAATTTTTCCTAAAGGTGGGGGAAATTTCAAGGAAAAGTCCCAAAAACCAGTGTAGTAGAAAATTCTAGGGAAATTTCTGCTTGCACATTTTTAATAGTTTCTTTACTGAAATCTCTCATTTTGGGAAAATGTCTACTTTTTACCTGTACAAATTGAGAAATAGTTCCCTTCTTTTCATAGATGTAGATGTTTTCAGGCTAATGGCAACTGATACCCTAAACCAATTCGTTCACGTGTCAGCGTTTGAAAATCCTGCTTTGAAGTGGTCATTTCGTAATAGAAATGCCCGAAGTTGGTGTCGTGTTTGTAGACTAGTCGCATATATTCACTCAAGGGATGACTGATTTCCATGTTTATCAGTCAGCTTTTCTGTATTTCAGAGAAATTAAATCATCATATGCTGTTGTTTAATTGTTAACCTGTGGCTGACAGTAAATTAGTTTTGATAATATATCATCTTGTGACTTCACCAATTCTTCTTGACAGTTACTCAATAGTAATAATCAATGGTATCAGTATTTCAACTGATTTTACGGTTCTTTTTTTCGGAGAACGATGCTATCTCACAGGTTCTTAACATGAGATGAATTAAAAAATCCCTTACACATTACCAACACTCGAGAAACTCATAATTCTGAAAAACGCAGATAACATATACTCATCACAGTTGTCCACTGAGTGAAAAAAATCCTAGAAGTTAAATTATGAGTAATAGAGTAGATCTGGTTTTTCTGTGAGTTTCTAGTGGAATACTTTTATGAAGAGAACATAATTGATGAAATAGAAACATTTATTGCACCACTGATTGTTTTACTGTACTCTTTTGTTTAACTGCACTAAAAACCATAATTGCCCGCGTCACGTGTCGCTGACATTGCTCGGTTGCCTCAAGGCTTTTGTCTGCGGCATTTTTTGCGATCTTGATATTTTTTCCATATCACGAGATCATCAATAAATAGACCTTCACCTCCAGTTACATCTGGTCTTCTGATTTTTGGCCGTAACAAGATTAAACTTGGTTATCTTGCGATAAGTAATCTCAGTTCTCTAGATTGGTGAGCGACGACTCTGGACACGCATCAACTGCTGAAAAGAAATCAACTGCAGTGAATCTGTTACTTTTCTGCCCACATCTGATACATTTTTAATCTTTGTTGTTAATATTATATCGATATTTTTTAGTATATTATATACTGTATCCGCAACAACTTTCTACAGTGGTGGATAGACTGAAAAATGAAGATGATATAACAGACTCACGATTACATGTTATCAATTTCCGACCTGTTAATTTTATTACCCACGACCCAGAAGTCTGGTTTGCGGCACCGGACACTCAATTCGAGGTCTGCCACATCACGAAACTGCGGCAGGTGTATGCCTACGCTCTGGGATCTTTACCTGGGGACCATATTCCTGCTGTCCGTGAGGTAGACCTCAATTTTCAAGTACCAGAAGTCTACGATCGTCTCAAGCAGACGATTCTCAGACATTTCTTCCCATCGGGGGAGGAACAATTGGGGACCTTACTAGCACGACACCACTTGGATGAGCCAAGACGAGCCACTGCCTCACGCGCCTGCACTCCTTTGCATGACATGACAGCTGACTCTGGAACAGCCAGATAACTGCGGCTCGAGTCCCTTCCACTATACATACAGCCTACGATCCCTGCTCTGCTCGAGTACACGACACTTAACCAGGTTCCCTCATAGGAGAAAAAATTGTAGCGCGAACAAGGACGTGGGACAGCTACATATTTGTTTCAATGTTACGTAGGAACGTAGACCTCGATGCTAATCGCTCCCAAGCTCAAGAGGATTGGTGTTGTTGCATCCACAGCCGTCTCGAGTTTAGAGACCGTTCTTTTATTCCAGAACCTCACGTCCCCCGAGCATGATCACAATCACGCAAGGTTGTAAATACTCGCCCCAAGTGGGCATTTGAGCCATGTCAAAAGGCGGCTTCACAAGCGAGTACTGGTTTATGCGGCTTCCACCGTAATTTTAGGTCCTGTGCCCGACATTGTCAAGCCCCCTGCTCATACAAGGCGGGAAACTCCCATGACGGCGAGTAAATGCAGCTGTACTCGACGGCCCATCACCTCAGGTTGGCTGCTTACGTGCTCTATATGCGCACTAACGCTGGGTACCTGGTAGACACAAGTGACAAAGTTTCTCTCTTACGACGCGCTGCGAATGGCTCTGTCAATACTATCTATGGTACACGACAGCTAAAAGTCAACCTGAGCAACCGGCGACAGTATCTGTGGACGTTCCACAGCTATACTTAGTATCGATGAATCGTAAGTCGATTCACGTAGACTACAGTTAGTCGATACTTTGTCCAGCAGCAAATTCATGGACTTTAGAGCTCAAACAAACGTGTACCGTATCACAGGTGAACTTTATTCGCGTAATGACTTATTCCAAGCTTTATCAAAAAATCCCCCCATCTAACCTAACCATTCGATGAGATTTCATCGGTGACTCATCGTGTGGTACGCCACATTGTCACCCGCGGACCACCAGTCACGGCTTAACCTCGCTGACCGGCACCGGACAAATTAGCTTTCGCTTCACGTGAGTTTGACAATTTACTAACTACTGGTACTATTCGTTTCTCTCACAGTCACTGGGCCTCACCACTCCACATGGTTTGCAAAAGGATGGGACAAGTTGTCGACCATGTAGCGACTGCTGAGAACTAAACGTAGCTAAACTTTTCTATAGCTATCCCATCCCCCATATACACGACATCACGGCATCATTCAAGGGCATGACTACTTATTCTAAGATTGATCTAGGATCGAGAAAACTGTTATCACAACTCCTTTCGGACTGTTTTGACTCCTACGATTGCCACTCGTGATAACGGAATGCTGCTCAAACTTTCCAAAGGTTTACCGATAGTATAGTAAGAGACTTCGATTTTTTTTCACGTCTATATTGATGATCCAGCTTCTTACTTCGACTTCTCTTCTATCCACCTGACACTGCACAACTCTCCCTTCTTTTTGCTGTACTCCTTTGTCTGTGCGTTATATTCTTACATTCCCATAATTTACTTTAATTTAAGTGGTCAGTATGAATTTTATCTTGACTTACTACTGTATTGACTACTTCAACATGACAGGTTAAGTAGTGCTTTGGTTATATATATACACTTGCCACACTGCTGCCTTTTTCTCTCTCTCTTCTCCTTTTCAGGACCCCATTCACGGTGGGAAATCCTTGGCTACTCTAGGGAACATGCACCCAATGTACATGACTGTCTGGATCACAGCTCGTATCAAGCGCGTTCCATATGACCTTTCCCAACAAATTCACTATTGATCTCGGCCAATCGCCAATAGAACCTATTGTGCACCTTCCTCATTTGTACTCTAGTATTGAAAATGTGGCTGTATAATACTGTTTCTGTCAGTGATATGGTGTAAATATGTAATCAGAAACTGTCTCTTATACCTAATTTAACTGCTATAACTTTTACCGTAATTGTAAAAGCATTTGTGACAATTTGATCTAGCCTGTAAACTGGCGTGACTCTTGTAACTTAGTTATTTGAGAATAAATTATTATTATTATCTGCTAATCAAATCATCAAAAGTAGATGAGCATTATCAACATCTTACAATCTTATTCC